TATATATATATATATATATATATTACGCGCAAAACACTGTCTTTAATCCTTTGTGACTATAAGTGAATAATACTACTTATAATTTTGTAATATTCAGTTATATGGACGTAATACAAATACTTTAAATAAGTGTTTGTGTTGCTCTATGGATTATTCTGGATGCGAGACATGACTGCAACTTCAGTTTGATGACTTGAAATCGATTTCCTGTGAGCTGACAACACTCAAATATCCACTTCCTGTCAAGACTGGGACTTAGACTTGTCAGTCATACGCAAACAGAGCTTTATTACTGGAGTCTGTGTGTCTGTGTGTGTAGGCACATGTCTTTGAAGGAGAGACAGTTACAAAACAGTATTGTGGTGGTACAGGGATGGTTTCAAATGGTACATTGATATATACTAACATACTAACTGATATATATGGTATTTTAAGTATTCTTTGAATAATTAAGTATACTATGGAAAATTTCCCAGTTTAATGGGGGTTTTACAAGTACATATAAATAATGCGTTTAGTGTCAATTCTGTGGATTGGGCAGTATGTAATATATAGTATATTTAATATACATTTTCAGATGTAATTATGCCTTCTGGAATGTAAAAATGACTAATGGTAACAGGGTTGAAAGTTTTGGTTTTCAGGTTAAAAGTGCTCAAGGCTATAAAAAAACAAAAATCTGCTCATCTATACATATATTTTTTCAAATATCAATTGTTCACTATTAAAAAAATAATCATGGTAACAGGGTTGACATTTGAATGCACTTTAAAAGGATAAAGCTATAAAACTGGATTTTCTTTAGACAAAACATGTTTAAAACATTAGAAAACACTTTAAATATTATATCATTATGTTTGAATTATATTACTTAAACATACATATATTACTTTTTATTAAAAAAAAAAACCCACTAGCTTTCTATTTTTTCTATTCTATCTACTTGTTATTCTTTGTGTGTGTGTGTGTGTGTGTGTGTATAATATATATATATATAATATATATATATATATATATATACACACATTGCTACGTGTACTGCGTTAGGCTAACCGAGACTTGTCATTTGCACTTATATATTGTTGCTCTTTTGTTAGTTTTGACTGCTTTTATTGTCCTCATTTGTAAGTCGCTTTGGATAAAAGTGTCTGCTAAATCACTAAATGTAAATGTAAATGTATATATCAATTGTTCACTATATAATATTATGGTAACAGGGTTCATATTTTAAGACACTAAAAAGATAAAGGAGTAAAACTTAAATTTCTTTAGACAAAGCATATTTAAAACATTACAAATATTTTAAAATATTATATAATTATGTGTACATTTCAATTATATTATATTTCTTAAAAATAAATTAGCGATTGTTCTCAAAACATTTTCAAGGTAACAGGGTTGATATTTTAAGATGCTTTCAAAAATAAATCAATATAATGTAGGAGACTAGCTTGTCTTTGATGAGTTTGCTTTGTGAAAGAATTATGATGTCATTATTATTAAATATTATTTTATTATTGATAGAATAGCTAATTAATGGAAAATGGAAAAAAAATAGATAATGGTAACAGGGTTGGCACAGTCTTTCTTAATGCAGTCAACTGAAATGGGAAAAACGAAATAATAAATAAAATAAAAATGTCTGTATTAACACATATAACCTATTTTGTAGAACGAGTCATATGGTACATGTCCAGAAAACATGGTATTACCATAGTACCATGTTAAAAAGGCAATCACAATGCAGTGGTGGTCTTCGGCATATTTTATTAGCAGCTTCTTTGCATGTCAGTGGTGTTTCAAGTGAACACTAAATGAGAGAATATGAAAGTGTCTTTCTTTTATACAGTAAATAACTGCAGGCAGACGCCATATGTCACACCTGGATCTGTTCTTAGCCAATCAGAGCTCATCTTCAGCTGAAGAACTAATTGTCTTCAACCTCCTGTTGCTTTCCTCTAAATATAAGTCACAACAAGGCTCAGTATGAGTGTTCTCGCCTGTGTGTGGTGTTTCTGGGCAAGTGTGATAGTAATGTCATTGTGAGGGTCCACAGGAGCTCATTCAAACCTCTGCCACTGAACAGAGCAGAGTACCTGAGAGAGACCTGCAGCTGTGCGGGTTACTGGCGGGACGCTGATACCCGTCGGCACACAGGCAGTGAAAAGACCCGTAGGTGTTGATGCACTGGTGACTGCAGGGAAAGTTTTCGGAACATTCGTCCACGTCAATGCAAGCCCTGCCGTCGTTTTTCAGACGAAACCCCGGCCAGCACGAACACTAAAGAAGAAAGTACAAAACAAAGATTTGTGTGTGAATCTCACAGAAATCTGCCAAGAACATGTATGGGTTATTTCACCACAAAATAAAAATAAATTAATATGTAACTATATATAACATTTATTATGTTTTTCAATATATTTAATTAAAACGCTTTAAAATGTTACAATTATATTTCAGTTATGTTGTATTATTTAAAATAGTCTTTGAGGTAAAATATAACCCAAGCATTTGTTTCATGAGATCCACCACAATAATAATACATGGAATCAGTGCAATAATAATAATAATAATAATAATAATAATAATAATAATAATAATAATATAAAAAAGTTTTTTTTTTTTTTTTTTTACAAATAACATTTTTATTTGTAACTGTATTTGAATAATTTTGCAATTTCTTAATCAAATCTTCTATTTTACTTTTTGGTGAAATATTACCATGGCAAATTTATATACAGTTCACATTAATACTAATGAGAGACTAATGGACAGGAAGTGAGCAGTGAAATAAAACAATGTTTACAATGTTTCTAGACCATTAGTTTAGTCATTAATTAAAACTATGCTTTATATTTTAATTGTGTGGTAACAAAAGCTAAAACAAGCAAGAGAAACAAAGTTCTAGTAAGTCTGGAGCCGCCGTGTCCTTGACTGCTTGTTTTTAAAGTCAGTGTGGCTATCAAAGGACCGGCCCAGTATTCTGAGACATCTGCCAAATGAAGCTGTTCGATCTGCCACTCTCTGTGTGTGTGCGTGTGTGTCATTCTCCCAATAAAAACACACTCTGTTTGTGTGTGTGTCTGCCTTACATGTCATTCCCCTGCTGTTCACTACCTCAACTGATATTCTCAAGCGCTAAATTGCTAGCATACATGTTTTAGCACTCTTGTTTACACATTCACCGGTTAAACTAGAAACGGGATCATAACATTCTCCACGGATTTAGCGCTTAGTACAATAAACTTCTGTGGGATGTACAAACATATTATTACTTTGAACGATTTGTTTGCGTAGACTTTCCCGATATTGTCGTAGCTGCTAAAGCCTGCTAATGAGGTTTAGTGAAGATTTGTTGGGAAAACAAAAACATTATTTCGTTTGTAGGCCGTAGTTTCATGTGTGGATTTCTTTAGCGTGGAACGGAACTTGAGTTGAACCAGACGCTTAATTCGTAAAAAGAAACAATGTGACAACGTGAAAAATGTGCATTCGTACACACCTTGTATCCCACAGGTAGGTCTTGACAGTCCTGGGTACAGCCGCTGACTTTGCGGTTCAAACACTCGTTAATGTGGCAGTTCCTCTCGTCAGATTGGTCCCCGCAGTCGTCGTGCTGATTACACACGCTTCCCAGTGGAACGCAGCGGCCGTTTGCGCACATGAAAATCGACCCGTTGAACAAACTTCCTAAAACATGGAGCAGCGAGAAAAAAAAGGGGAGACAGAAATCAACAAAACCGTCAGATGAGAAACACAGAACTCAAGTGGTTGCTAGGGTGCTCCTGACAGACCGTAGCATGTTTCTATGCCCTACCTACAGTTGCTATGTGGTTGCTAGAGTGTTCTGAGTGCTTTTTAGCATATGGCTATGCCTACGTTGCTATGCTGCTGAGTCTTCTGGAAGGTTTTCACCACATTCCGATGTGGTTGCTAGGGTGTCCTAGGTTGTTTCTATCATGTTGCTATGTGATTGCCAGTATTTTCTGGGTGGTATGTAGCACACTACTATGTGGTTGCTAGGTTGTTCCGTCTGGCTTTAACACTTTGTAATTTGGTAGCTAGGGTGTTTTGTGTAGTTTGAGTATGTTGCTTTGCAGTTGCCAGTGTGTTCTGTATGGTTTTAACACTTAGTTATGCAGTTGCTAGGGTGTTCTCTGTGGTTTAATCACATTGCTATGTGGTTGCTAGAGTGTTTTTGTGTAGTTTTAACATTGTTATGCAGTTGTTAGGCTGTTCTGTGTAGTTTTAACATTGTTATGCAGTTGCTAGTCTATTCTCTGTGGTTTAATCACGTTGCTATGTGGTTGCTAGAGTGTTTTTGTGGAGTTTTAACATTGTTATGCATTTGCTAGGCTGTTCTGTGTAGTTTAAGCACGTTGCTACAGTATATGGTTGTTGCAGTGTTTTGGGTGGTTTTTATCATGTTGCTGTGTGGCTGCTAGTATTGTCTGGGTGATTTTTAGCATGTTGTATTGTGGTTGTCTGGCTGTGTAGTTTTAGCATGTCGCTAGGGTGTTCTTGGTGTTTTTTGTGTTTATGTAGTTGCTAGGCTGTTCTGTGTTCTTTGTGTTGCCATCTGGATGCTAGGGTGTTTTAAGTGCTTAGCATGTTGCTATGCCGTCACTACTATGTTCTAAGTGGATGTTAGCATGTTGATGTGCTATTCTTGGTAGTTTTTAACACTATGCTATATGGTTGCTTTTTAGAATGTTGCTGTGCAGTTGCTAGGGTTTGTTTTTGTTGTTTTTAGAATGTTGCTATGTGGCTGAGGTTGCTAGGGTGTTCTAGGTGGTTTTTAGAATGTTGTTATTAAAATGCAATAGTGTTCTAAATGCTTTTTAGCGCATTGCCTTGCGTCACTATGTTGATCGGAGTGTTTTTTAACACATTGCTATGTGGTTGCTAGGGTGTTCTGAGTGCATCTTAGCACTTTGGTGTTCTAAATGTTTTTTTTTAGTATGCCACTATCATGTTCTTGGTGGTTTTAAATATGGTGCTTTAAGGTTGCTAGGGTGTTCTGAGTGCTTATTACATGTTGGTATGCAGTCCGTGGTGGCTTTAGCATTTTGCTATGCAGTTGCTAGGGCGGTCTTTGTGGTTTTAGCATGTTTTATGTGTTTCTAGGGTCTTCTGAGTGCCTTTTAAATATTTGCTAGTGTGTTCTGAGCACTTGGCATGCTTGCTATGGTGTTCTAGGTGGTTTTTGGAACTTTTCTATGCAGCTGCTAGGTGTTCTGGTTGGTTGCTAGAGTGTTGCTTACTGGTCCAAGTCAAAAGAGCCTTATTAGTGTTTTAAAGTTGTACTGTAAACATGTTGTAAACATCTGAACTGAATTTCCCCTCAGAAATATAAACATAAAACTGTTGCTTAATGAGCTTGGCTGGGAAAAGTAATGGCATCTGTTAACATTAATGGCATATGGTTTGCCCTGAAACCAAAAATTGAAGAACAGAGGCACAGCAGTTTCATCAGCCCCTCTCTGCCCAGTTCAGGTGGTACTGGCAGGGGTACAGGACAGAAACGGGGAAGAACAGGTGTTCTGACAAATCCCATATTGGAGCGGAACCTGGGAACCTGTCAGTCAAATGGGGTTCGTGACACATGAGCGGGACTCGCCTGCAGCGGAACACTTTGGGTTGAGTGGCAGCTCGTCTGATTGGTCCAGACAGTCGGGGAAGCCGTCACACTCCCATTGGGCTCTCAATAAACACCTCCCATCTGCGCAGCGGAACTCCTCCTCTTTGCATAAACGATATTCTGGAGAGAAGAAGAGAGAGAAAGCGTATGACAGGAAGATAACTTAAACAACGGGGCAAAAAGTTAAAGCTGTCACTGTTTCAAATAGGTATGCATGATATTTCAGTCGCCATTATTATTGAAATAAAGTTTAAACAAGAAATATAGTCACTGTAATATATAAATTTGCAATTGTGAGATATGATGCCACAAAAAAATTCACATTATGAGAAATATACTGCAAGAAAAAGTCATTTTGTGATATAAAGTCACAATGGGAGACAAATGACGCTTTTCCACTGCATGGTACGGCACGGTACGGCCTGGTACGGTTCACTTTTTGGGGGTTTTCCACTGGGTACAGTACCTGGTACCTGGTACTTTTTTTAGTACCACCTCGGTTGGGGTTCCAAGTGAACCGTACCATTACCAAAATGTGACGGTTGTCTGTTGCAGAAGAACAGACGTTCCTCTCGTTGATAGCAGAGGAGCGGATCCAGCGAGAGCTTGATGGGGCGATGCGGAATTAAAAAGTTTTTTTTTAGGAGTCGTGGTAGTAGAGGCGGCGCAACTATAACGACATGTAAATAATCCCGCCCACTCTAAAGCGGTACTGAACTGCAGTGGAAACACAAACCGAGCCGAGCTGAACCGTGCTGTGTCGTACTGAGCCATGCTGAGCCGAGTCGTACCACGCAGTGGAAAAGCGCCTAAAGTTGCAAATGGTGATAAAAAAACAGCATAAGTTCTGTCATAAGTTATGCATACAGCATTGCGAGATATAGAGTCATATTTCCAAAATAACTGTAATTGCAAAAAGTCACATTGAGAGAAATAAAATTACATTTTATGATATAAAAAGTCAAAATGACAGACAAAGTCACAAATTGTGAGAAATAATCATAATACAAGATATATAAGACATACTACATAAAAAAATCGCAATTATGAGAGACACATCGAGAGATTTAAGATTTAAAGTCATATTCTGAAATATAAAGTCACAAATGGGATATATAAATTTGCAATTACAAAAAAAGTGCAATTATTATTGTCAAAAATAACTTGTGCATAACAGCATTGCACGATATTGAGTAAAAAAAAACTAAAACAAATTGCAATTGTGAGAAATTAAAGTTACCTTTGAGAGACAAATTGTGAGAAATAGTCACATTGTGAGATATAAAACCACACTGCGAGATAAAAAAAAAATCTTGTGAAAAACAAAAATCACAATTGCGATAAATACTTAATCATAAAAAAGCCACATTTTTAGATATAATGTCACAAATGGGACATATAAAGTCACAATTATGAAAAAAAAAATCACAATTGTGAAAATAGTCACACTGATATATATATATATATATATATATATATATATATATATATACACAAAAATAAAATAAATTGA